CTGCATTATGCTTCAGCATTATTTTGATATTTAAAAGAAATAGCAATCATGTTTCGAGATGAAGCTCAGCTTATTTTTATAGATGATAAATATCATTATAAAGTTGGTGATCCTGGGTATCCAGTCACGACTATAGATCGTAAAAAACAAGTACTTGTTAATCTTAATACAATATATTCCATAAATAACCATGATTTTACAAAATGTGAAATCATTCTAAGCATTACAATATTGTGCAACATACCTAGAATAATTGAAAAATTATTTTATATTAGAAAGTTTCATGTTGGGTTAAAAGAGTGTATTTTTGAACTATCAAGTCTATTGCAACATATTACAGAGTTATATAATATTTTGAAAAGCACTGAAGATGACAAACCTTATATCTTTATATACACCTATGGTAGGCCAGACCATCGAGTAAATTTTCTTCATGTACAACTTGCATTAATTGCAATATTTTTAGCTTTGGATCTCAATTTTTTGGTTGCTGTTCGAACACCTCTGGGACACTTGTGGAAAAACTAGTTGAATGTGTTATATCTATCTTAAACCTTGAATTACAGTGTGTTGGTCTAATGAGAATTAAAATGAATAAAGAATTAGAAAATTTAATGAAAAGTTGTAATACAATTGAAGAAATTCGTAAAAAGCTAGTAAAATGCCTTAGCTTAAGGAAGGGATAATCGAAAGTGTGCAGCTCACTAAAGCCTTCATGCAAGAAATTTTTGAATAGTTGGAGCTCAAAGGAGAAAATTTTTCCATATTTAAAGCAGTAACAGATCGAGACATGGAACATTTGTGGAAATCAGTACTTGAAGTAGACAATTCATTGGTACCTGAAGATACATCTAAGAAACACATTAGAAATAAGGTCAGTTCGAATTTGCAGAAAAATAATTTGTAACTTATGATGGTCTTTAGAGCCTCAGTTTAATCTACAACTTTATCAATATTCGATTATGTTTTTATAAATAAATAACAAAGTGTATCCCTAGCATTTAAAATTTTACATTAAGATAGGCCCAAAATTCAGCATAAGCTTGCACAATTAATATTTTTATTTACTTACAAATGTATACTATATATATATATAGCCCTGTATTCTTGAGTTCATGAATCATTGCTGTCATTTGAGAACGTGTTTTTTTGAAATTAGAAAATGTCAAGAAGCTGAAACAGTTTGTACAATTTGTAAGCCACCACGAAGTAAACCTGATGTGTTTTTAAAGTTGCAACCTTTTTCTAATCCCATTTCTAAAGCAAATAAAGATTATTATATGCCATTTTGTGAAATATATGGTAAAGATACTAGCGAAAAATACCACTCTTCTTTGCTTCAAAAAATCAATGTGCCGCCTACATCACCAACTACTATGACTATTGATGGTCTTGGTACTAATGGAATAGGTTTCAGTCTCTGAGTACAATATGCAACAAATGTTCACATCTTGGTCAAGTATATAAATGTAACTGCCTATGAGTTCTTTATTCACAATATCGTCTAAACCCAGAGAAGGAAAAACTTCTTGAAAACAATTGATTATACATATAGTACAACATTTTATAGAATTTCAGATCTCACAAAAACTAGTTCACCACCATTTAGTAGCGATAATAATTACAGCAAAAATAATGATGTTCAAGATGTAGATAATGGTATAAATGATGATGACAACTATGATGATGATGTAGATAATAGTATAAATGATGATGGCAACTATTATGATAATAGTGACTATGGTGATGATGATAACTATTGTAGCGATGTTATAGAAGATGGTAAGAGGTCTGTTAATAAATTGTTTACAAAACTACAAAATACAAAGAATGATTTATCTTTAGAGATATTGTTCAAAAGGATATTTGTTAATACTAAGCTTACCTGCTCGACACCAATGGAAGTTCCATACTTCTCTTCTCGTCTCTATTCAGATGTTTGCTTTCAGTGTGGTGATACAGAAATCTTTTTGCCAACTCCTGCTAGTGAACAGCCATCTTGCTCTGAATACTATGCCATAGTCAAAACTAAGAAAAAAAAGAGCAAAGGAGTTAAGTATAAGGTTAAAAAAAAAAAATCAGTTAAGAAAAGTTTTGTGGTATGAACAAAGGGCTTTATTGTCCGAAAGACATTATAAATATATTATAAATGTGTAATGATGATAACTTTGGGTAAGGGTTGGTTAGGGGGTTAGAGTTAGACAAATCTTATAAGTAAAATTGCCTTCTGACTTGCGCAACCCAAAAGCACATGTAAAAGTTTCTGCAAATAATTCAAATAATTCAATATTTTTTTAGCCTCATATTTTAGAATAAATTAGAGAGCAAATATGATAGTCAATTTGAATATCTCATAGTAATAATTCAGTTTATATATCGATCTAGGATTAATATCACAATGATACTTAAGTTAGTTTAAAAAAAAAAAAAAATTACAACCCAAATTTTTTTAAATTTTCTCAAAAAAAATATTATTTTTTTATCTATGCGAGTTTTTTTTTTGATCTCTACATGGTATTTCTTTTCTTACAACTTTTGCCCTTATTGGGCTACACTTATCAATTTTAATAAAACACCTGATCTTGCATCTTCTGCTACTACACTATAATAGACCATTGCTAATACAACGGCCAGACAATAAAAATAGAAACAATAAATATTGATTTGGAACATCTGACCCATGAATTATTGTATGTATTGTACATACAGTACGTGTGTAGGATATATCGCATATCTTTTAAAATAGATTACATGAGTGTATTAGACAATTATTTGAGACAACATATATAGTTATTATAAAAAACATTTTAACTTTTATAAAAAAGTCATCTGGCCAGGTTACGAGAATCAATTTTATTTATATATGCAGCCTAATATAAAATATTTTATTAGACATAAAGACAAATTTTAAAATTGTTAAAAAAGTTTAAAATAAGTATTAATAGAGGTTAATATAAGATTAAGTTAGTAATTACTACTTGTGGATGTCATTTAAATTATACTCAACTCCTTTGCTTATCCAAAATTAGTTTATTCTACTGATTGTTTCACAAGAAGTATTAAATAAATTCAGTTTATTCTAAACACAATTGACTAATATAGATTATCTGGTCTACATTGCTTTGAAAATCACATGATTCAATATAACTTTAGAAAACTAGGAGTTTTAACTCCACTAGAATTCTATCAAAATTAATCTAACTCTGGTGAAATTAAAATTCCTAATTACAAATAAAATTAGGAATTTTAATTCCATTAAAAATAAATATAAATCTGATTAAATTAAAACTCCTAATATTAGAGGTGTGGCGATCTAGTGTAGTGGTTAGGTTGTCACCCTCACCAAGTGGCAGATCAAGAGTTCGAAACCCACCAAGAACAGAAAATTCGAATAATTACTTGTATTACAGCAACTGTCTTTCATCGATCAGTTGGGATAGAATACCTGTAACTATGGTCACACTAGCAAAACTAGCAGGTCTGGGCATCTATGCAACTTTAGGTTACATAGAGAAATGCAAATCAGTAATAGACAGTGCAAACACTAGAAAAGTTCTAGATCATATAAATTCATAGAACTGAAAAGAAAGGACTGTGACCTTTCCTTGGTTCATTAGCACTACCATGACCTTTTCCTCTGGTTAACCTGGCAGCCTGGTTGGTGGACTGGCTTTACCACACACCAATCATGCCCCATCTGGTTCTTCCACTTCAGTTTTCTTTTTTCTTGGATCTAGCCTTTACAGTAGTACTATCAAAGATTTGTGCTACCTTTTTACTCAGATCTTCCCAAATGGGCTTCTGGATTGGGAGTCTGGAACCAAAGCAGAGGGGAACCAAAATACTGGAAATATGCTATAAAGTGAATACTGGGGTTTGGGTAAACTTTGCAAGAGCATAGCCCTGTTAATAGGTCTATAGAGTGAGTAGGTTGTTGATAGGGAGATACTCTGAGCCTTGCTACTAGGTGATGTACTCCTTAAAATGGGTACAGCCTGGGTTCCTAGCTCAGAAAGGATGACAATATGTCAAGTTAAATAGTACTTGTTATACAGGAACTTAGGTGCTAACTGCTAGATGGGTACAGAAAATCAGAGGGTTTAAATAGGCAATCTTCTAGTAGGTTGCAGGTATGGCAACTAGTGTAAAACCTTCGGGCAGACTACTTAAATAGGCAATCAAAAGTTGTACATGTGGCTAGTTGTATACTTATTAATATACTAAAAAAATATCTTAATATAGACAATATAAAAACACAATAAAGCATTGAGCAACCGTGACATCAGTCTTTAATAATAAAAAAAAATAAAAAAAAATAAAAAACTCCTAATATTATTTAATATAGAAATTTAAATTCCACTGGAGTTAAATTAATTTTGATAAAATTTTAGTGGAATTAAAACTCCTAATTTTATTCAAAATAAGAAATTTAAACTCTATTCTAATTTTATTTAGAATTAAAACTTCTAATTCTAAATAAAATTAGGAGTTTTAATTCCACTAAAGCTAAATTAATATTGATAGAATTAAAATTTCTAATTTCGAATAAAATTAGGAGTTTTAATTTCACTAAAGTTAGATCAATATTAATGGAATTAAAACTCCAGAAATTTTTTATAAAAGTACATTATTTTTCTATAAAGTTTTTTGTTCAATTTATTAAATTATTATAACCAATTTTTATATATTATGAACTTTAGTAATTTTACAATATCTTCTTTAAATTTTCAATTTAATCAATTAATAATTTCAGAACCTGAAATTATTCCAATTTTAGATAATGAAACTATTAGTGATCTGATGATAATAATCAGATTAGTGATTTTGAAAATGATAATGATGATTATAATCAATTTATTGATAATAATAATTCTTTTAATATTTATAAGCTTAATTATAATATTAAATCTCCTATAAATAATTATACTGAATTAGAAAATTGTATTTTTACAACTTCAGAAAATACTTTATCTTCTATAAATAGACTTAATAATTCTTAGTCTTTACAAGAATATTTAAATGATTATCTTCTTCCTGCAACTCAGGATAATGCTTCATTAGATGATATTAAAAAGCATTACATGGTCAAATAATTGATTATACAGCTGAGTTCTCCAATATTTCCACAAATTAATTTTTCTGAGTTTAGATTAACTACACCACCTGTTAATATATCATTTAAATATGATATTGATTCTTTTTTATTAACTATATATTCTTTAAATATAATTAAAAAACCTATTAAATTTTTTTGTTTTACAAATCCTTTATAGAATTTGAATTGTCATAATCATGAATATTGTTATCTTTATGATAATAATAATGTTAAACAATATGTTAAATTAGTTAATGTTCCACATTTTCAATTTGTACAGTTTGGTGATTGTGGTATTTTTAAAATTTTAATTTTTTTTCTTAAAAATATATTTCAGATTTTAAAAATAATTTTTTAAAAAATGAAGAGTTAGCTATTTGGTATGATAAAATATTTATAACTTCATTAAAAGAAATTGGATGCCCACTTGATATTTTAAATCATTATCCTTCTACTTTTAAAGCTTATTGTCTTAGAGCAAAAAATGATTCTGGCTATTATTATTATTATCCTTATAGTCTTTCTAATTCCTATTTATCTAATCTTACAAATACAATGTGAACCAAAATTAGATCAAATGATAATTTAAAACAATTTGACCATTTTTTCTATCATATTTATGCCAAAAACATTAAACTTGATACAAAATTTCATGCAGTTAAAGAAGTTTTAAATGCTCAATCTTTTATTGATGATAATTTTTATACAAATAATAATAGCTGGAAGAATGCTGCCAAAATAGATTTTGGTATTGAATTTATATCTAAAGAAATAAATCAATTTAATTCTGTTTATTAGGCAAGAAATTTAGCTATAAATCTTTTAAAGAAAATTGGTACAACATTTACAACAAATACTTCAAAATCAAGAATTGATAATTGGCTTTATACTTATAATATTTGTAGTGCAGCTGGTGAAGCTAAACAAATTGGTATAAAAAATTATATATATTATGCACAGGCATACTATATTGAAAAGGAGGCATTTTTATCTTTATTACCTACACTTATTGCAAAATTAAATAAAAATGATGCTAAAAAATATCCTTCAAGAGTTAATAAAGCTTGCTCAGCTTCTATTGATATATTAAAAGAAATTGTTGATACTAATTTTGGTTCTAGAGTAGAATATATTAAATATTCTAATTTTATTCAATTTCTTAATAGAATAGAAAATAGAATATATCCTTTTTTATATTCTAAACCTTTTTATATTATTCCCACTAATTTGGTATCAAATTTTAAAATTGCCAAATTATAAATATTTTTAAAAACATATAATCTTTCTTTTAATCCTATGCTACAAACTTTTACTACTAAACATGAAATATTTAGAATTTGTTTATTATATCTAATGAAAACTGTTAATCAAAGTTTTGATGCATTACCTTTAATTACAAAATATTTTGAAAATTCAGCTTCAGATAATCCAAATAATATTGGAACTTTGAAAATATATAGTATAATAAAACAATCTAATACAGCTTGGTTATTAAATATTTTTAATATTGATAACTATATAGTTGATATTGATTTATCTGATACTCAACAACAACAACAACAACTATTAATTTCTCAAAATATTCAACCTAATAGTATATTTAATTTACAAATGAGAGATCAAATTTCTAATTTAGCTAATATTATTCTATCAACTAATAATTTTGAAAATGAAATAAATATATTATTTAATTTAATTTGAATACAATTTATTCAAGATTGTATTGATGCAATATCTGACAGATATAAAATACAAGAATT